ACTCCATACTGATCTCGTTCCTACAGCTGGGCCATGCTGCCCCCCGGCCCGTGTACACGTCCGTGGCTCAGCTCCTACCCCAGTGGCCGCGCTGCCACAGCAGCGTCTCCCGGTTCTCCCGGCTGTGGGAAGCCAGGCCTGTGCTGTGAAGCTGAAGGTCCCATTTCAGCTGTGCAAGGTGGGTCTCTGGGGCTGGACAAGGCAAAGCCCAGGAGAGACGCGCCCTGCTCATGCGCGGCTGCTTTACACCCTAGCACATCCCTGCCTAGGCTGGGCTCTGCCAGCCACCGTGTTTCCATGGGCAGAGCCCACAACTCAGTGCCTCCCACACAGTGGGGCTGGATGGGGGCCCCAGCTAGCACTAATTGCCACCCGGGCAGGGGGCTGGGCGGGGGACTTCCTAGCTATCGCTTTGGGTGGCACTCGCAGCTCCACGGTGCCATCTGCTGGGCAGCAGAAGCTGTTGGAATAAGTCCAAAATGTAACACTGGCTAGACATACCTGTTAACTGTACAACAATTTAAAGAGACCATCTCAGGTTTAAAAAGACCAGCCAATCCTGCTCCCCGTTGCACAGATATAATTCAGGATTGGCTCAGGCGCAGCCAATGGGATTATATCACCTAAAACCTAATATATGCAACTAAAGCAAGTCCCCCCATCGCCAGTGTTGACATCTTCCATTCTTAGCAGGAGACATTTAACAATCAGATTAGTTTTTCACTCGTGAGGCTGTTAATTCCCTTGTTCCATTTCTCTTGGTCTCCCCAGTGAAAACAGGCTAGTCAGCTTTTCGGCACGTTCTAGGCACTGGCACTGGCTGCAATGTTTGCACTGCAGACCAGGAAGGGGGACTATTTTTAAAACAAGTTTCTAGTTTGACTGTTGACAATAAATGCGGGAACCAGGGCTGAGCGTCTGGCAAAGCTTCTCTTTACCCCCCAGGCTTTTGGAGTGTGTTTCGGTTCCTTTACGCCCCACCCACAAAGCCCCAGTTGTAACCGAGTCAGGCAGGCCTGCATGGGCAAAAGGGGAGGGGAAGGCGCAGGCGCTCTCAAAAATGGCATCACTTGCGTTGAGTGACTGATACCTCCAATGCTTATGGCTCAATGTCCTAACTGATACAGCACAAGGATGGGACCCAGCTGGTGTCTGTCCTGACCACCAAATCACACTAGGGAACCAGGCATGTGTCAGGAACAGCTCCCCAGCGGCCTGCCGTACATCAGCCAGTGACAGAGATACCCCATGAGATGAAAGGGTCAGAGGTGAGCAGGGCCAGCTACAGTGCTTGGGCAGGACCTTTCGCACATGAGGCAGACACGCTAACTGCTACGCTACAGCCACGGTGGGCAGCTCTATTGCCCCATTCCTCACCTTCCCCTCGCCTAGATCTCTCCAGCCCCTGTCTCAGCGCAGCATCCGGCAACAGAAGAGCCCTGTGGTGCGGTGTGACATACCAGCGACAATCCAGACCAATGAATAGCTGTGTCACCCCTGCCCTCTAACCTGGGGTGTCCTTGCTGCTGTGGCCTCCAGCATGTAAGTCACTCCCAGCTATGTCTGTGTGTGCTGTAGCCAGCCAGCCAGACCCCCCCTTGGCTCCTACCAGCCTGGGTTATGCTGCAGGGTGACCCCAGCACACCCCAGGCCTAGATTTCCCCCAGAAATGTGTGTCCTGTACTGCCCAGCCCTCTCCTGGACAATACAAGCCTGTACAAAGGCTGTTTGATTGATAGAAATGGTGTGCACACATCTTGTTACCCAAATGGCGTTTCCCAGCCACTCAATTCAAACACACCGGATTAGAGAAAACAATAAAACAAGTTTATTAACTAGAAAGAGGGAGATTTTAAGTGAGTCAAAGTAATGAGGCATAAGAGGCAGACATGGTTACAAGAAAAATAAAGATAAAACACAACTGGTGTCTAACTTAAACTATGTTAAATTCACAGGAGTGTGCGGTTTTTGTACCCTTCCCCAGACACAGCCGTCTTGCAAGGAAAGAGAAAAGTCAGGCTGGGGCTGTAGGTGCGAGGCCAACAAGGGCAGTGCTCTGGGAAGCAAACGTGCTCACACTTTCTGTGATTGCTGTAGGAATACTTGGGAGCTATGATTCCTGCCTTTCATCCAGCTGGCTTCTTCCCCACCATGACCCGAACAGGTGCCATAGGGCCAGGAGCTCACTGCTAGCGAGTGGTGAGATTCAGCTGGCTTGACCAGTTCAGCCTGCCCCAATTCACCGATGTCACAATCTATGTCTAATAGGTGTCATGTAATACCACCCCGAGCCTTACTGTTCTTGCATGCTGTATGTACACGGGGGTATTAAGAGTTGGGGCTACATGCTGGAATTATGACTAAAGTGTGTTTAAACCAGGCATGCCAGGGGAAGTGGCTAAACAGCTGTGCCCTAGACAAGCGCATGTGTATTTGCTTCCCTGACCAGTGCGGTCATCAGGCAGAGACAACGAAGACCCATTTACATATTAGATAAACAAAGCTAGCGCATGGGGGAGGGGTCAGCATGGCAGCTACACTCCAGCGAGAGCGAGACGTTTGGGCTGGGTTTTTACATTGCAAAGGGTTACTGCTCTATAAAGATGGGGGGGCTGAACCTCAAGTGACGAGCAATTGCCTCAACGGATTGTACACAACATTACTGTATTATAAAAGCATGCCGAGCGAGGTGTGTTCTGACAGCCTATGCCACACTGGGGATTAATACCAGCATCAAATGTCTCTCTTAGTGCTAGATCCGGCCTCATGGCTATGCGCTGATATTAGGCTTTACAAACGAAGCGTGACACCGTGTCTCCCAAAGAGGTGGGAATGTCACAGCTCTTCACCCATCTGGTGGAATCAAAACAATGGACGTCCACTGAAACGAGGTCATTGAACTTGGGCAGACCTAAGCAAAGCCCAAAGCCATCTTGGCACCCCTCACTAGCCCGACACAAGGGATCAGAGCTCTCGCAAGCTGAGAAAGACGAGCCCTTCAACTAAAGGGGAGGGCTGAAGTCCCTGAATATTGAAGCTAGGTGAGAAACCTGCCTGGGCCAAGATCGTTCACCTAGCACGCCAAGGGAAGCCAGCCCCTTGTTCCACTGTGGAAGGTCCTGATAGGGAGAGTCAGCCATGGCTGGGAAGGACGATTGATAAGAACGCTGCCTTGAACAAAGACTGTAGCTTGTTAAGTCAATCAGTAGAAAGTGTATTTTGGTTTGTTTTATGGCTTCATTCCCGATACCTGAACTCACTTTATCCTCAGTATATTTTGGTACGACGTTTGTTTTATGTGTCCTATAAATCGGCTCAGTGCTGGGTTTGAAAGGAAGGGGGTATTTACCCCAGTTACGTTAACAAGCTGTAATGTGCGTTTGTCTTGTTAAGGAGCAACCAACCCCATTATTTCTCCGAGTGTCCAGGTGAGGGCTAGATACTGCACACGGTTTGGGGGAAATTCAGGCCTGGGAGTGTGCTGGGGCCGCCCCGCTGGTGGTAGCCAGAGTAGGGCTGGAGACAGGCTGCTGCCCCAGGGCTGTCTAGCACACAGACACCCGGCAGGCTGGCCTAGGAGCTACAGCAGCAGAGCACTGCCAGGCACCCAGGTTTGCTGGCCTGGATCGTGCCCCCAGCAGCGGGACACCCACTCAGAAGCCGTCACTTTCTGCAGCTCCCCCAGGAAAGGGTGCAGCTGTCGTCACATCAAGAGCCTTCCTTTGGCTAAGGGAGGTTCACAGGGCTGCTGACGCCGAGCACCGAACCAGGGATCTTGGAGGTTGCAAGTTAGCAGCCTCTGAACTGAGCGACTCCGGCAGGTGTGCGCTCCTCAGGGCGTTCCTTCAGGGCTCACACAGACAAAGAAAGAGTCAAGGCAGCTCTGGTGTAGCTGGTTTATCAGAGCCAAGGAACGTTTTCTGCTTGGGCTGTGTCACGACCCCAGGTTTCCTGTACCCAGGACTGGGGGAAAACGGCTACTGCCACCAACTCTGCAACTTGTTCTTGTGTCACCCCCTCACTCCGCTCCCTTTGGCCAGGACCCTGGCCCCAGAGTCGAGTGATTGCTGATGAATATGGAAACTGCTCCTCAAAGGCCGCTCCAGGAAAACCCTGTCACCACAGCTCCCCACCAGGCTTGGCTAACACACGGGCTGTATTAGTTACAACTAACCCCACAAGTGAACTTCTGTACTGTTCATCCAGAGGTGCCCTCTTCACCTTCTCAAGCCCTGGAAAGTCTTATGACAGATCCCAGGTCAGACGTCCTCCTCAGAAGCTTCTGGGTCATACGCCCCCAGCCCCGGTCTCAGTGCCGCCTTCCCTGATGGCCGAGTCTCTGATGTCCTGAGCATCCAGCCAGGTCCTAGAAAAACCCACTTGTAGTCGCCAGCCTCCACTACCTCTCCCGCCCGGGCCTCTCCCGACAGCCAGCATTTGAACAAGCAGTCCATGGTGGCTCCTAGCAACTGAACAAGTCCTGACAAAGTACTCAAATGTCAGGTTGTGGGCTGATGGCCAACCCCAGCTTTACTTCCCACAGCCTCATGCGAAAAACAGCAGTAACTCCCTGTCACGCGACCAGGACATGGGTGGTTTTAAAATAGAATATTGCAGCAGATAAAAATACAAAAATAAAAATGTTAATTATGTCATTTAATGTCTTTTAATCTTTGAAAGGCAACTCCTGCATGGATAGACCATAATTAAATTTTAGAATTTCTTAAACCCTGGTTTCCCATCACTTAACCACTCAGCACTAGCAAAATGAGATTTGTTTGGTAATACCATCCCAACTAAGGTTCAGGCACTACCATAGGCTAGAACCAATTTGCTGGCAAGCCTTCGAAAAGAACAATCACCCCAAGGAAGCATGTCCAGATCAAGTGACACATTGTCTCCTCTTCGCTAACAAGAATCAGCCACCTCACCATGGAGCTAGAAGCAGGACAGGCGAAAGAATAGGTGAGACACAAGAACACACATGTGAGTCCCTGGTATTAATTACAGTACAACTTTTATTAATACTGGAATCTTCACAGTGCATTCGTTACTTGTAGCAGTGACTATTTAAATCAAGGGCGGGGTGGGGAACAGGATAATTGTCCGAAAAAGAAAAGAAAAAGAGAGGGTGAGGAAAGGGTAGCGGAGGGGGAGAGACAGGAGCACGGGGGGAAATAAATTAAAAAAAGAACAAGTTAACAACAGCACCAGAAAAGTTACTTCAGTCGAAAGACATTTTTTTAAAGGAAATTTTTTTTCTCTGTACAAAATGAAAAATAAAACCAAAAAACAAACAGTTGTCACGCGTCGTCATCAGCTCTGGTCACAATAAGAGGGGCGGGAGAGACGGGACGGAGAGAGGTTATAACTAATCTTTATTACACAGTGTCCGAGTAACAGGGTTGAGATGCGAGACAGAGACACACACACACACACACACACACACCTGGGCTGGTGGGGCGGGATGGGATCTCCCATTTCGAGCTATGTACATCGTGGTGATCTGCTGTGCTTTGCATGAGGAGTGGGAGAGAGGAGAAAGAAAAGGCCAGGGAGGAAGGAGAGGTTGTGCTTTCTTAAAGGCCTTTTACAGATCCTTAAAATAACCATTTTCAAAGACTGACTAGGGCCTTCGGATCCAGGAACGTGGCTCCTTGGCTGCAGTTCAGACTTTTGCTTTTCACTTCAGAGTTGGACTGTCCATGCTACTAGCTTGGCCTTTATTCTTAATGCAATCCCCCCCTCTCCAGCCCCACTCATCACACATCTGCTTCAGAGAGGCACAGGGCTGTTCTGCTTGGCTGAAGTGTTTCTCAGAGAACAGGAGAGCCAACCCCCAGCATGCTGCTGAAAGGAGCTGCTGGCAGGCTACAGGAGAGATGAACAGTAAGATCAAAACCATGGGAGTCAACTACTGCGCAACTCCACCCAAATCAAAGGGATCTGCTCATCTCTGGTGCAACTCCACCCAAATCAAAGGGATCTGCTCATCTCTGGTGCAACTCCACCCAAATCAAAGAGATCTGCTCATCTCCGGTGCAACTCCACCCAAATCAAAGGGATCTGCTCATCTCTGGTGCAACTCCACCCAAATCAAAGGGATCTGCTCATCTCCGGTGCAACTCCACCCAAATCAAAGGAGATCCCCAATCATTGGGCCATTATATCCATAGTCGCTCAGTCTGCGTATCCAGGGTCTGACATGGCTCCCATCGCTGTAGGATCCCCGCTGCCCAGCTACTGTTCAGTGCAAAATACACCAGGCCAAGGGTAGCCCTCGTGTGACTCCCTTCTCCTGTAATAGCAAATGGTGGTTCTCTGTCCCCGTCCCACTGAGGTCGGACACCTGGTGACGATGGTACCCTATAGCTATCGGCTATAGGGCTCCTGGGTGTAAGGCCAGGGCGTCTGGCTTCTTAAGGTAAAGGGGTGAGGAAGGGAGGGGGGGTGGACTAGACCAGCTCTCAACCAATCATAACTCATCATTTCTCTAGCAAGTTGGTTGAGTACTATTCATTCCTATCCAATCAGATGCAGGGAAAGACTAGCTCTCCCCTTTCCAAATCCAAACCCTACAGACCACATGGCCACTGCTGTTCAGCCAGGACACCCTGCCCCCAGCTTTCTCCCCTCCAGTCATGCACCCACTCATCACAAATCCCTCCTCCTTCCCAACGGCACCTTCCATTAGCCAGCAGGATGTTGTAGGGTTGGGGGGTGGGGGTGGGGCAAGAGGCAGACAGCTTGAGCACCCTCACACTCTGCCAGCTCGACATGCACCGCAGGGGGCGTGGAGGAGACCAGGTACAGATTCAGATTCCAAGGCCAGACGGGCCCACTGAGATCACCTGGTTTGACCCCCCCCCCTCCCCAGCATGGCACCAGCCATAGGACTGCCCCACAGTACTCCCTAGAGCAGAGCTTTTGGGGAAACAGCCAGTCCTGATTTTAACATTGCCACTGATGGAGAATCTACCTCCACCCTTGCTAAATCGCTCCAATGGCTAATTACTCTCCCCGGGAAACATATACATCTCCTTTCCAGTCTGCATGTGTCTCGCTTCAACTTCCCGCCACTGGCTCATGTTAGATCTTCGTCTGCTAGATGGAAGCACCCATTATTCAATGGTTGTTCCCCATGGAGATACTTACAGACCGTGATCAAGTCACCCCTTAACCTTTTCTTTGTTAGCTAAACAGACTGAGCTCCTGGAGAACGTCACTCCAAGGCAGGTTTCTAACCCTTTAATCAGTCTCGCGACTCTTCTCTGACCCTTCTCCAATTCACCCACATCCTTCTGGAACGGTGAGCACCAGACCTGGACACAGGATTCCAGCCGTGGTCGCACCAGTGCCACATACAGAGACAAAAGACCCTCTCTACGTCTACTCGACATTCTGCTGATGCATCCCGGGTGGCATTCGCTCTTTTGGCCGTTCAGCTGATTCTCCACCCCCACATCTCTTTCAGAGTCCCTGCGTACCAGGACAGAGTCCCCCAGGCCACAAGCATGGCCTATGATCTTTGTTACCAGATGTGGACATGGACATTTACCCTTATTCAAATGCACATTGTTTGCTTGCACCCAGTTTCCGAAGCGATCCAGATCATGCTGAATCAGTGAGCCCTTCCTTTGGCACAGCTGCTGCAAGGTCTTGACGGGAGTGCACTGGCCCCATTCCTGTTCTCCCACGGTATTTATCCGACCAACCCGGCAAAGCCCTGCTTATAAGCAATGAGGGAGGTGTGTCTATCAGACCAGGTTATGAACAGAACACAGACAGTCATTCCTAAATCTGTCCCCACCCTCCCGCCGCCCAAAATTAATGCTTTTGTGGCTCTGTTGCCTCTAACTCAAAATCCAGTCAATGGGGGACAGCGGTCTTGCCACGGTCTATGGTTTCGCCATTGACTTCTGAGGAAGGACGCAGCGCCCCATCAGGGTGGCAGGAGCCCAGGAACCTAGTGCTGGGAGATGCCAAGAGGCCATGATTATTGGGGCGCTCATGACCATGAGCCCCAGGTGGCCTTGGGCGAAGCAGCATTAAATTTACCATCAGAGCTCAATGACAAGGAGCTGTGATTGAGGGCCCCCATGTGTCCCAATGAGAACCGTGTCCTCACAGACAGAACTCCAGCGGGGCTCGTGGGCTCTGCCTACCGGCTCTGCTCACCTGGTAACCGGTTGGGCCACTGAGGCGAACGGGCGTTTTGTAAAAGGAGCAGGTCTGATTCTGCCACCTTTACTCCCACTGAGTAACACCTTCCCGTGTGAGGAGTCCCCATGCTTTTCAATAGGACTGTGTGGGGAGTAGGTGTGACTGGCCGTGAGCCTGGGAGGGTCGGGGGAGAATGGCCCCTGAGCAAGACCTGAGATTCCCATTCCTCATGGGACGGCATCTTACTGGGAAAGGGACGGCTCAGGGCATGGGGTCCCCGCGGCACAGCCCTGTGTAGCGTAATGCCAGGGATGGGCCTCTCAACTCCAGGGCACTTCCCCATGACAAATCCACTGGGGCCCGGTGCGGGTTGTCCCGGACCTGTGCAGCTGAACCCCTGATGCCAGCGTTCTGTTTGTGCTGATCTGGTGGCTACGACGGTTAGTGGCGAGCAGGAGTGAGTGTGGGCAGATGCCCCCTCGTCATGCTGCAGAACCCTGCATACACCCCCAGCCGGGCACACGTGCACCCCCCAGCCTGACACACACTCGCACAGACAAACACCCAGATGGGGACTATGCTGCACAGACAGCCCCAGGACACCCAACCTGGTACACACCTAGCAGAAGCCTGCTACATTCATAGCTATCTGGCAGCCCCTTTACCCTGTACTTGGGTTACCAGTCCCAGGGGCAAAGGTCGGCTGTGAAGCTGGATTCAGGGAAAAGGTAACTCTTGAGCAGGCCGGATCCTTTAAACTCCCAACGCTGCTGTATCTGCCTGGCGCAGAGCTGTGGCCGGGCACCCCGACCCCTGCCGTGTCACTTTATGGCTAGAGACCCACACACGCAGCCTAACCTCCTGAGAAACACGTGTACCCAATGCCCCCTGGCCTGAGATCTGGACACGCCGACAGAGCCGGGGAAGTCCTTCCGCATCTCAGCTAATCGGGAGGGGAAGAGAGCCTGGCCTTTGGAGACTATGAAGTGCTAGCCCCGGGGCAAACGCGTAGGGGCAGCTGCTCCCCCAGCCAAGGCATAGGACACCAAAGCACCTCAGGGGACAGGGCCGTGTGTGCCAGGAATTCTATCCACTGCTCTGAGGCCTTTTCACTGCAGCGACGAGGGAGGGAGGGAGGGAGGGAGGAGAGAGGAGGGGGGTGGTCAGATGCTCAGCACAGGACTACGTGCATCTTCCGTCCACAGGAAGAGGAGGGAGGTGGCTTGTGGGGACTGCAGCCAGCGGTCCTTGGCGTTGTGTGTGTGTCTATCTGTGTGTGTTCTTTATACTTATTATGTAGCTGCTTATTCGAGTCCAGGTCCGTGCCCCCCCAACACACAGTGGGGGTGGCCCCCTCGTGTAGCGCTGCCTCCTGCTGGCAGCGAGGAGTCTTTAACAGCCAGGAGCAAGGTGTGGGACGGGGGCGTGAGAAATGAAATAGAAAACAGGCTCCAAAACCGGTTCAGTGCCTCCTAGGCGGCGCCTTGTAAGTTTGTTAGCAAAGACTTTTGATTTCCATTTAAATCTAGACTCGTCTCTAGCTCCATAAAGTGGCTTTGCCTCTGGGATTCTTTCCTGGGTTGATTTCTCTTCTCGGCTCAGTCCGGGCCCTGTGTTCGCTCTCTTCCCATGGGGTGCGGTGGGAGGGAGGGGCGGCAGGTGGGGGGAGTGTCATCACAATATCCGGGGGGCGGATCTGTCGTTGGTGATGGTCCTGCGCAGGTGTACACCGCGCCGGATGGCTACCAGCATGTCTTCAGCGGGGGGCTCGCTGGAGGCAGCGGGGGGCAGAGTGGGCGTCTCCTCTCCAGGGCCGGGGACAGAGAGAGCGGTGGGGAAGGGGAATTGGCCCTCGCCCAGGGCATGGGCACTGGCCACCAGCTCGCCAATCTTCTCCACCAGGCTGTGCCGGTTGGCGGCCAGCTGCTGGTCCTCCTCTTCCTCGGCAGAGAGGTGCTGCCCTGCCCCCGGGTACACCGAGATCTCCATGGCGGTGCTGCCCCAGGCCGTGTTGGGGAGGCTGAGCCTCTTGGGCGAGGCTTTGGCGAAGTCCATGGCGTTTGGGGAGGCGTCATCGGCGTAAAACACACACTCTTCACTGCCCACCCGGGTGGGCCCAGTGTAGCCAGGGGAGTCGGGCACCGTGGGGGTCTTCACTGGGACGATAGGGGGCCGGATGGGGATGGGCCCGGCGTTGGAGAGGGTGCGGCGCACTGAGGGCTTGGTGGAGGGCGTGCGGCGGATGGTGGCCACGCCAGGGGGGGCGCTGGCCGGCAGGGGGGTCCCGGTGGGCAGCCCGGCGGTGGAGGCGGGGCGCTTGGTCTGGATCATGCGGCGGTAGTTCTGGGCGATGTTGCTGTTGCGCGGGATGGTGGAGGATTTGTCAAACTCGCTCTGGCTGTCGCACTCCACGTCGCCGTTCACCGAGTAGCAGTCGTAATCCGAGCCTGGGGGCAACACACAGCGTCAGTGCGACACGGGCACAACCAACACATGCAGCACAATCACCAACAACACGCAGCGTCAGCGTGACACAGGCACAACCAACACATGCAGCACAATCACCAACAACACACAGCGTCAGCGCAACACAGGCACAACCAACATATGCAACACAATCACCAACAACACGCAGCGTCAGTGCGACACACCACCACAACCAACACATGCAGCACAATCACCAACAACACACAGCGTCAGTGCAACACAGGCACAACCAACATATGCAACACAATCACCAACAACACGCAGCGTCAGTGCGACACACCACCACAACCAACACATGCAACACAATCGCAACACCACACAGCGTCAGCGCAACACAGGCACAACCAACACATGCAACACAATCACAACAACACGCAGCGTCAGCGCGACACACCACCACAACCAACACATGCAGCACAATCACCCACAACATGCAGCATCAGCGCGACACACCACTACAACCAACACATGCAGCGTCAGCTCAACACACCATCACAACCAACACATGCAACACAATCACAACACCACACAACCAACATATGCAACACAGTCATCAACAACACGCAGCGTCAGCGCGACACACCACCACAACCAACACATGCAACGCAATCACCAACAACACGCAGCGTCAGTGTGACACACCACCACAACCAACACATGCAACGCAATCACCAACAACACACGGTGTCAGCGCGACACACCACCACACCCAACACATGCAGCACAATCACCAAAAACACGCAGTGTCAGCTCGACACCACCACCACAACCAACACATGCAACACAATCAACACAATCTAGCATTAGCATGGCACAAACATATCATAAAACCGCCAGCAGTAACACAACCATAGCCACAACATGTGCAACACAACCACTAGCAACACATCCAACACCACATATCATAAGCATGGCGCACACACACCACAACCACACCACCAGCAGCAACACAACCACGTGTGCAACACAATCAATACATAGCATCAGCATGCCACACACATGCCACAACCACAACACCAGCAGCAACACAACCAGAGCCACAATACATGCACCACAATCACCAACATCAGCATGACACACAAACCACAACCTCCAGCTACAAAACCACCAGCCACAGCATGCACAACACAACCACAAAACATGAACCAGCGAGACAATAACAACTGCATTACATACACAGAACCACCAGCAACAAAACCATTCCACACACAATGACCACCAGCAACTCAACGACACCACAGAGCCAAATTGCCAGCACCTATAATCAGCATGATCCAAAATACACATCATTACACATAATACAACCACAACTTACTATAAAAAAACACAATACAAACATAACAACCAGACTACACACCACACAATCAAAACATCACATCACACACCAACAACCACATTACACGCAACACAAACATAACACAACACAGAAATAAGCAAACAAAGCATAACACAAAAATCATACAAAACACACACACACCACTTACAACACAGCCACAACACCCCACCCCACAGTCCTGGCTGCAAATGTGACCAAAGCCCACCCACCACTCCACAAACCACCATGCAAACACAAGCTGATGGGCAAACGGAAAACCACATTTTGCAACGAATGTTGAAAAAGCCGAAGACATGCTCTGCTCCAGCTTGTGACAAGGAACGGTTTTTTATGTATTCAGTACCAAGGTCACCAAGGAAACCCCACTTCTGGAGGTTTTAAGAGCAGGTAGGACAAACCCCCGTGCGGGCTGGTCTCCGCACAGGGGGGTGCACTCTCGAGGTCCCCTCCAGCCCCCCAGTTCTATGAATCTAGATACTGTTTGCAAACGGGATGTAGAGAATGCCCTGCGGCATGATGGGAGCTCCCGACTCCCACCCAGCCCCCAGCTTGGCCCCATCCTGCGGCTCCACAGGATTTATTCTCCCCTGTTTGAACCCAGTGGCTCCATCCTGAGATCCCTGCAGCAGTGGCCTGGCCACGCGAGTGAGTCCTGGGCATCAGCCCTGGCTGAGCACGTGGCTCCAAGGCCTGGAAAGCCCAGCCCCCTTGCCAGCCTGGCAGCACGGAGGGCTACCTTGAGATGGGATAGTGTCTTCTGAGCAGGACGGTGTGGTGGTCTGTGTGCTGTAGCCACTGGAGTACTGCAGGGAATCCCGGCTGCTCTTCTGGTGTTCGAGGCTCAGGCCACGGGTGAGCACCATGGCCAGGTCGCTGGCAGCGGGGGACACCTCCTCGCCATGCTGTTGGAGAACGAGTGAGACCCGTCACAATCTGCCTTAGCTCCCAGTCAGAGAAGTTTGCTCCTCTCACCCTGGTCTCTGGGCATGACTGGGAGTCAGGAGCAACTGACGTGAATACTGCAAGTCGGGCAGGGCCGATTCCCAGCCAGCGGGTCTGTGCACACAGCCGGCCGGCCCCAGTGAGGGGAGGGCAGCAAACAAGGCCCAGGGCAGGGTCCGGCCACCCAGGCACTCCCAGCGAACTGCAAAGTGAACTGCGCAAGAGCAGGGCTTGAACCTGGCACTCAGTGCAGCAAACAGTCGCCATGGTCCCATGATGCCCTCCCCTCGCTCCTTAACAGCTGTACCTTGGCAGCGATGGTAGCTGGGGACATCCTGGGCCTGGGCACGTCTTCCAGGTTAATTCCCGGATACCCCATGCTGGCGGAGCCCAACTCGGCCTCCCGCAGATGCTCCACGCGGTCCTTCCTCCGCTGCAGCGTGGTGACCACCGGCTGGTCGTAAGGACTGGCCTTGGACCAATCCTGCAAAAGGCAAGGCAGGCCTGGTAAGGCAGGGGGCTGGGCCACAGGGGGACAAGAACGAAGCAAAAGATTAGTGAGCATGGAAAGAAAGAGAGGAGAGTGCAGGGGCGGGGGGGAGGGAGGGGTCCTGGTGGTAACTGAGAAATGACTGGCTGGCTGCTTTGGAGTGAGCGCTGCAAAACCAGGGAAACCAAATTAGCAGAGGCAGCGGCTGTGTGAACCGTCCTGCTGCCACCCTGGATGGACGGGCTGCTCTGCCAGGGTCTCGCTCCCTTGTGTACCACAGCCTCTCCGCGGCCACATGTAGAGTACAAAGGCCATGCATGTGTGTGTGCGCGCGCATGTGTGTACATGGAGTCCCGACGGGGATCTAGCCTGGACCATTCAGCCCAATGCCTAGTAGTAACCTCCAGCCACAATCACACCATCATCTGGGCAAGATACCAACCCCACCCATTCCTTCCATCCCCCTCCCTGCCCATCCCCCTTCCTGCCCATCCCCTTCCCCACCCATCCTTGCCCATTGCCCTCCCTGCCCACCCCCTTCCATTTTCCTCCCTGTAAATCCCCACCCATCCCCCTCCCTGGCCTTTCCCACTCACCCCCATCTATCTCCCTCCTGGCCACATTTCTATCCGTCTTTGCAGTCCTCACCCCATGTCCCCACACGCCTGCTCAGCCCCTTGTGCGAGCCCCATTCTATGTGCCCCCTTCCTTGGCCCCACAGAGCCTCTGCTCCAGCCTCCCGGCAGTCAGTGACATGACTGGCTCCCCCCGACCTCGCTCGTCTCGGGATCGCACTTGGGCCAGGGCTGGGCCCATTTCGGGGCAGTCCCAGGTGCCCCCCACGTCTCAGCTTCCCTCTGGGGTTGGCCTATGGAACGGCGTGTGCCATCCTGCCAAGGCCAAGCTCAGCTGGGGTGGGAAGAAAGGAGGCATGTGGTGGCTAGAGAAAGGTGAAGGGGCTGAGAGAGGGGGTGGCTGGAAGGAGGGAACCCCCCCTCGTCCCCCCACTGCAGCAAGTCTCAGAGCCTGGACTACAAACTCGGGCTCAGGCCCCAGCGCTGAAACTAGCCGCGTGGGTGTCTGGCCGGGCTGGAGCCTGGGGAAGGGCTGGTTTGCGAGCCCTGGCCCGAAGGTCTGTACAGCTATTTGCAGCGCCGGCCGTAGCGCGAGTCCCGGTTGGCAGAGCCAGGCTCCAAGACTCGCTGCCGTTGCTCCTGGAAGGCCGACATGTCCTGGAGCTCTGGGTGGAGCCTGCACCCCCAGCCCCGCAGGAGCCGGAGACGACGTGCAGAGGACGGCCTGACCCCCCAGGCAGCCGAGTGACAGGGCCTGGGCTGGGGACCCCAGGGTAAGGGCTGAGAGGCGACCCAAGGGCAGGCAAGGGGAATGCAGCCCCGCTCCCTGGCATACGGGAAGCCCAGCCAAGGAGCACAGAGGGTGAAGCCCCCAGGCCAATGGGCCAAGCGGCGGGTTTGCTGGCCTGGAGCTCCAGGCTGCTCGGGGAATGCTGGGGTAGCTCAAGGAGTGGGAGAGACAGACAATAATCAACACCTAAGGTGTCTCTGCTCCTCTGTCACTGCTGCCTCACGGCCCCACCAGCGCAGGAGCCCCGCAGCCCCCCAGCAGCATCGGAAATACGGCTGCACCCAGCCTGGCACCCAGCACCTGCAGGCCACGTGGTGCCAGGCTGCCCTGACACTCACGTACGGCAAGTACATGTCCTGCTGCTCCACCCCTGGCCGCCAGCCTCGCCCCGGCTGGGTCAGTGCGGGCAGCATAGCCCGGCCCAGTTCCAGCCCAGGGGCGAAGAGCCAGCCCTCCAGACGCAAAGCACCGGAGAGTCTGCCGCAGGGGAGGGCCCTGCCCTAGCCCCCTGCGGGGAGGAGAGACGTGACCCCAACGTCTCCCATCTCCAGACCTCCGACAGGGCCCTGCCCACGGACACGCTGGGAAATACACACCAGGCTCAGGCTTCTTCGGGAGCTTCCTTCAGTCCTGGCCACATGAGCTACATTCATAGGTTTCAGCTGAAACACAGCAAGAAACCGGTGGTGAGGAAACCCTGCGCTCCCCTCCGTGCCATGTCCCCCCCAGCCGGGGGGAAGGGAAGCCAGACGCACACCAGGGCTTCAGAGCCCGTGACAAAGCACAAAGCCAGCCGAGAGCCAGGGCAGCCCAGGAGTGGAGATGGAGGGGGAGATTAATGGGATGGGAGGGGTGCGTCTCCCAAGAGCCCCACAGGTGCCATGCATTGTGCTGCCCCTGGGGGTCTGCATGGGAAACGTAACCCCCGTGAAGTGAGAGACAGAGCGAGGCAGAGGGACAGAGAGAGGGGGACGTTGCTGATGAAGGCTTCACCTTTTCACCGCCTGAGCACGCGCCTGCGGTAGAGCTAGAACTAACCGAGGTGGGGGAGCTGCATTCACTAACTGACTGGCAGGTTTCCGAGGCCTCGGAGGATGCGGAGCTGGAGGACTTCTGCCATGCCCAGAGTCCGTCAGCGGGAGCGTCAAACAAACACACAGAGAAGGAAGACAATAAACCTGGTTACAAAGCCAAAGGCATGCAGCAGGAGAGGAGAAAAACGCCACCCCCAAGCCCGGGAGTGTCTGGACCAGCCCCACAGCCAGCAGCGCAGACACAGCTGGAGTGCCCTGACAAGTGTTAGGTACAGACAGACAGCCTACAGGCACGCGCACGTGCACACACATATCCCCTTTCCCTTTACGTGTACACACACCCACACCCACACCCAGCCCTCCTTCCCTGTACGTACACACACACACACAGACACACACACACCCTCCTTCCCTCTGTACACACACACACACACACACACACAACCTTCCCTCTGTATGCACACACACACACACACACCACCTTCCCTCTGTACGCACACACACACACACACACCACCTTCCCTCTGTACGCACACACACACACACACACACACCACCACCTTCCCTGTATGTACATACACACCACCTTCCTGTATGTA